TTTCAAAAAATGTATTTAGTACAGGGTCTCACTACACAGATCCGACTCAGTGATTCTGTTTTCAGCCTCCTAAGTACTGGGATTACAGGCATGTACCACCACACCCAGTCACAATCGCCCTCTCAGAGGCCAGTGGTGCACTAACTTATTCTTTTTTTTTTTTTCTTCTTCTTTTGCGGAACCTGGGATTGAACTCAGGCCCTTGCATTTGCCAGGGAAGCACTTATTCCACTGAGTCATCCCCCCAGCTCCACTAATTTATTCTTTTAAGGCCTGTCGTGTGTTATGTGACAGTGATCAAAATCCTTGGCCTCTACCCATGTTTTAAATCATGTTGCTCATGCTCTACATCATGATTATAACAAAAGTCAAGACACAGTCACATGTTTTCTGATGTGTGCAATCACCAGTGCCTGGAAACTACCAACTTCACAGGTACAGTACGGACATAGAAGCTCCTGACAAGGTACCCAGAATGGGCAAATAAAGACTTCAAGAGCTGCCAAAATTCTCTGCACCCCAAACCCAAGTGGAATGAATGACACCACCCACAGCACTCTGTCCTTGCACACTCTGTCTCCACCGCCTATAACGATTTCTCAGATATCACACATAAGAAGACACAGATCTTGCAACACTGCCTGATACTGTGTGATGACACCACTGGGAGGTATAGAGGACACACTAAAGGGTGCCTTGAACAGACACTAGGTGCCTTATCTCAGCTGTGTTTTTCACCATAAGCCACTGCCATGGGGATCTTCAGGTGCCAACATGGAAGTTCTGTGCTCAGAGCTTGGAGAACCCAGGAGACACTTAGGGCAAGTTCAGGGATTACAGTTCCTTGTCACTAATGGAACACATAACCAAAGTTCATGGTCATCTTTCTCCCCAGAGAAATACAAAATCAGTCCAAGGAGAAGAGGGTCTTGAATGCAACATTGCTGGACACACCTCCCTTCAGCCCACTAAGGTGTTCAAAGGTGAAATGGGATTATAGGAGTGAACAACCCAACACAGAAAGGCAAATGATGACCCATGGTTAAAGCAGCTAAAACAGTTCCCAGAATCAGCAAAAATTAGAACTAGGAGCTCAGGCCAAATAGCTCAGCGGATTAAAGCGCCTGCTTAGGCAGATGCAGGGACCAGGGTTTGGTCTTGGTGTGCCATGTTGGCTGTGCCCCTGGGGTATGCTGAGACTGTGGTTGAGAGTGCGCATGTTGGTGGCATGCGTCTATAATCCCAGGGCTTGGGAGGCTGAAAATAAGAGGATCACTGTAAGTCCGATCTGCATAGTGAAACTCTGTCTTAAATACAGTAAAACAAACAAACAAACAAAAAACTAGGAATACTTTCTCTACAGCATTGCTCAGCTCTGTGTCTTTATTGAAAAGTACCATCCTATCCCCTTTCCACAGTAACATAAGCAGAGTATGACTACATTGGAAGACCTCTATATGATAAAATAGCAAAAAAAGTCAAAGGAAAGCAAACAAACCCATATACAAGCCAACAAATACCCCAGAATAGTCTTCCTTATTCTTTTTTTTTCTGGCGGAACTGGTGATTGAACTCAGGCCTTTGTGCTTGCCAGGCAAGCGCTTAGTCTACTTGAGCCATCTCCCCAGCCCCTAGTCTCCCTTTTTAAAAACAGCACTCAAATTATCTCCTTGTTGGGTTGCTCAGAAATTGATTAATGCAGCATTTGAAGAGTTGGAGGAATGACTATAGATGTTACTTGACTTTTTTTTCTTTTTGTATTTTAGGGAAGGGTCTACAGGGTGTTCAGAGTCTCACTACTCGATCAGACTTGTAGTGATCCGCCTGTTTGCAGCCTCCCAAGAGCTGGGATTACAGGCATGCACCACCATTCCCAGTTTCAACTGCTGTCTCAGCGTGCCCTGGGGGCGGGACCTGCACAGCAGGCCCAGGGATTGAATCCCCGGCCCCTGTGCCTGCTTGCAGGCACTTTGTTACTTGACTTTGAAAGGGGAAATATCATGATCAACCGAAAAGAAGTTTAATATAAAACATTAAAATGCAGAGAACATACCCAATAAACGAAACATTATTGTCAAGCTTTGGCTGTTTCAAATATGCTCAACACACTTGCCTTACTCTTTTTCTTTTCTGCTTCCATACTAAAGATTTACCTCAGGGCTTCATTCGTTTTAGATGAGTTAGACTGGAGGTGTATCCCAACATCTTTATTTCATATTGAGACAGGAAGTTGTTCATTTGCCCAGGCCGGGCTTGACTCCTGTCTCAGTCTCCCAGTGTGGCTGAGATTAAAAGTGTGCACCACCACATCTCATTGATGTATACCCAACCACTGAAACCTTGGTAAATTGTGAGATTACAGAACCCCAATCTTGAAATTGCAAAATGGGACATGACTGTCACCTCAAAAACCAAAAGTTCTCCCCAGGGCTGGTGAGATAGCTCAGGGGACAAAGTGCCTACTTAGACAAGGGCAGGGACCCAGGTTCCATCCCTGGCACCACATGCTGCACAGCCTCCACCCATGGGCATGCTGAGTGGACCACCAAGTTCGGGTGTGGTGGCACATACCTGAATAATCTCATTGCTGGGGAAGCTAAAAACAGGAGGATCACTACGTATCTGAGCTGTGAAGTGAGACCCTGTACCAAACACAAAAAAAAGTTCTTCCCATCCTGGGCAACTCAGCAAGACTGGGTCTCAAATTTTTTTTAAATCTGAGGTTGGGGGAGGTTAGGTGTGGCTTGGGGGAAGCTTCCTGAGTTTAATCCCTGTACAAAAAAAAAAAAAAAAAAAAAAATCAAACACCTTGTAATATTTTGTAATCAAGAGAAAACCCTTCTCATGCTTCTTCAATGATGATGCCCACTGTATTTTTAAACCTGCAAGACTACTTTGCTAATTTCTAATTTTGCCTCACAAAGAGGTGAACTGATCAGTAGTAACAGAAGACATACATCTACGTATAGTCTGTTGCTAAGTTTCCCCTTTTGTTTAGGCCTGCGACTTCTAACTCACTCTCAGGCCACGGCAGAATATAACCCTTCAACTGGTGTCTCACACACATCAGTTTGATGTGTTTCTCAATTTGGATTTAACAAGCAACCCTTTCAGGAAGTTTTCTTTAGCAAGAACCCCTTGCCTTCCCTCGCTAATACATTAGCATCCCCTCCATTTTCTCGGCGTCCTAAACTCTCTGGGAAGGCCTCATTTAAATAGTCTTAACGTAAGTAACATTTCCTTTAGTCACCTCAGGAGTAAGGTACCTAGTAGGGGAAAACGGTCTGAGATGGAGATCGAGTTGGGAACTAAGCCACATTGATAAGAATTAAGCATTTGAAGAACATATTCTATTTATTTATTTATTTATTTATTTATTTTTTGCATAACCGGGGATTGAACTCAGGCCCTTGAGCTTGCCAGGGAAGCGCTTATTCCACTAAGCCATCTCCCTGGCCCCTAAATGGCAGTTCTAAATAGAGTTACTTGTGACAGGTGGCCACTGAACAACTAAGCAATTACTGTGCTCTGATTATCCATAATTTGCTGTGGATTGAGCAGCCACGTGGCCATTCAGGTTGTTTCAAAGGAATCAGGGAGCTACTTTTATTTCCAATAAAAATTCTCCAACATCCTTTTGGTTTTGTGACCTTATTCCACAATACTGTAAGACCACGAGCTGTTTTTTATCACTGAATAGAGGTCTGACATAAAAGACTGTGGTGGCCAGTGAGACAGATCAGGGGTCTAAAGCACCTGCTTAGGCAAACTTAGGCAAAGCGCAGATTGAACCCCCAGGGCGGGCTGAGGGGCCAAAGACTATGGTGGAGATAACTTTGGAGTTGCTGAGTATCAGACGCAGGATTTCACTGCGTGCTTGGCAAGCGCTCCGCCAGAGAAACAGCACCCTCAGTGTTAAAACTTTCTTTGGATTTGTGCAGCCCACAGCAACACAAACTATGCCTTGGCAATATGAAGAAATACTTGAAGTGTAATATTCACTGTGAATATAAACAGGCAGCTGGCTGAAGAGATGGCTTATGTGTATGAGACTCCATCCAAACATCTATAAAAGTCAGAACCCGATCTGCACCTAGAAGGAAGGAGACCAGGAACCTAGCGTACCACGGCTGTACCAGCTCCAGCAACATCTGAAGCAGGGTCCCCCCAATCGCGCACTCTCCCCAGTACCACTTCTAGCCCACATCTGAAGCAGGGACCCCCAATCGCGCACTCTCCCCAGTACCAGCTCCAGCCACATCC